CGGGCACTAGAGAACCTCTGATTATTCCTACTCGGACGCTCTGCTTTGAAAAAGACTCGAAGGACAAGCAGCAAGCGACTTGATTCAGGAAAAAAATAAATAAAATAAAATAGGAGAGGACTGACGCACAGCGGCATCTGTTAACAGCAGAGGAAAAGAGGGAGAGACAAAGAGGAAAAAATTCCAATTATCTAGGAGAGAGAAAGGAAGTGAACATGTGAGCGTTCCAGTTTGTAGCATTCCTGCTTCCCAGGTCCTGTGACGAGTATTTAAACTTTTTTTGCTAAAGCTGAAAAGACAGCGGAGGTAAAAACCTGTCGGATGAAAAGAGTTCAAGCACTGAAATCTCAAGGTTGATCAAAAGGGAAGGAAGGAGGGAATCAAAAACAAACAAAAGACAGATGAAAAAAAACACACACATACACACAGACAGACGCACACATACAATTTGTCGTCTTACCTGTTTGGCTGAGTTGTGAGGTGCTGCGGCTCTTGCGGGACATGCCCACCACGGCGGCCATCTTTGCCCCAATGCTCGAGCGCCTCTTCTTGAGGTCTCCGCCCACCAGGCCCACGGCCGTGTCCGATTGGCTGCCATCAGTCTTCTCCAGGCTGCACATATCCCCGCCAATGCTGGTGCTCTTGGTCAGATTGGTGCCACCCGTCATGCCCATTTGCCTGTTTTTCATTTTGGACGCAAAGTCGCTGTCAGTGGACCACAGGAGCCGTCGGAAGGGAAGGAAAGAAAGGGATGGAGAGAAAAGGAGAGAAAGGAGAAGGGAAGGGGAAAAAAGGAGAAGGGAAAAAAATGAGCAAAGGGATCTAAAGGAAATCGGGATTAGTCTTGGATGGAATAGAGTCAGACTGGAGTTTGATGTAAAGTCCCAGTATAGAGTGCATGCTCAGAACTGGCCTTTGAAATGATTGATATGTGTAACAATTTTAAGATTATAATGTTTCACACATTCATTTTCATAAGCATTGTTCATACTGGCAGTGGCTCGATGGTTATGGATCTGAAATTAATCGGAAAGTTAAATCCTGTCAGGTCAAATCCTGGTACCAAGCTGTCAGTGTTGGGCTCTAGAGCAAGTCCATTAAGTCTAATCTGCCTGGCTAAACTAATTCTTTTTTGAGAAAATAAATAATTCTAAACACAATTGCAAATATTGCTAATAACTGCTAAACATAAGCTGCTTGGGGAAAAAAAACTGTCCCTAATTTTTGCTTTTCAAATGACATCACACTGCCATTTTGTGGACTGAACATGTAACTGACCTCACCAACGTTACTGAATCTGGACCTTAATTTTTTAAAATTTATACTGATAATCGACTGCCCTAATACACTGACACCATACAATTCAATATCCAACTGCCCTAATACACTGACAACATACAATACCCAGGCTCGCCTGCTCTTAAATGCTTTGATGCACTCTCCAGAATAGGGAGAGGGGCGTGTATGTGATTAAAAATTTCCAGTCACATTCACATAATGCACCGAAGCCAGAAATTCCTTCCCAAATATGTCAAGCGTTGTTATTTGGGTAAGTAAAAAAAAACTATTTTGTGCTGCAGCATTACAAATAGTAATTGTAATGGCTCCATATATGTAACTGTTCAGTTCCTCAGTGTCTTATTATTTATGCAAATTCAATTTACAAGGTCGTTTAATTTGTCCAACTAGGATGCAGCTTTATTATTAAGTCCCAAGACTATAATCAAAAGAAAAACAAAATCATTTCAATTGTCCTTCAGTACTCAACACTCTTCCAAGCTCTTCTGTCATGCCTGAAGTCACGGTTGCAGAGAATACCTGAACCTTAAAGAACTAAATATAGCTTTCTTTTTCATTCGTGCAGTGTGAATTTGTGCTCCACTAAAATGTTTAGGCAGAAATAAGAAAACATGCTGAAATTAAAAATGGACTGATGGTGAACATCCTGAATCAAAGCTCCTAATAAGATCTGCTTGAGTATTAATGTGTCTAACCCTGATTCTTTCTCACACAAACAAACCTGGGGAGGAAAAGTCTTGCAATTATAGCACTTTAGCCCTACTCAAACAGGATTAGATTTCATGTCTAGTGGTGTTTTGCTGTTAAGACAACCTAGCCTAATGTGTCTCCTGTTTTTCAGCAAACACAAACATCCAGAGAGAAATTATCCCTGCATAATTTTACAGCCAGATGTTTGATTTTGACTGCTTCTATCAGCCAGAAGTTCCCTCTTTTGGCTGCTCCTGTCCAGGGTCACCACAGAGGATCACCCTGTGATCCAGAGTTTTACTCTGGATGCCCTTCCTGATGCAACCCTCCCATTTCCGGGCTTGGGACCGACACTGAGAGTACACAAGCTTATGCAACCCTCCAGTGGCTGAGGTTGTTCCCCTGACCGGGAATCAAACCCGGACTGAGGCAATGAGAGCATCACATGCTAGCCACTATTCCACCAGGGAAACTCTAAGAGCCAGACATCATTCTTTATAATTCTGGGAATCAATAGATGGAGAATAATGGATGCTTTGGAAGAGTCTCTCAAAATGCCGTTGCTAACCAAGCTTATCATAATACCAGATACAGCTTTTATTCACATATGCCACCATATCACGGCACTTTTTCTGTTCTATAAACTGATAAATCCTATCACCATATGATTCAGGTTTGTAGGACATTCAACCCTCTTTAATTCATAGCTGCTCAGAGTAAGAAAAATTATTTGCATGCGTTCTCAGTTATCACACATCACACTGAGAAACGAATACTGTTCATATACAGCTTTCGACAGCACATAAATACGGTAAAAACAGCATGCAGAAAACCATCTACTGCATTGCCATTAAGTATTAATGTGAGCTACACTATAAACCCTCTGATTACCAGAAACACAAAATAAAACAATAAAGATCAAGTGCCATTTTTGAAGACAGAAATTAAATCACAGACCTAGGATTAAGTCTTAACAGATTAAGTCTTAATTGGGCCTTGAGCTAAATGGCACTATCTGTGGCCTGCTTTAATCTGGGTATGGTACATTGGGATAGTAATTTAACATAAAATATATAAACATATACATTAAAAAAAAAAATCATAGAAACATAATACTGAACTGTATTGCATCAGAAAGCCAGATTTTCTATTTATGATCATTAAAACCTGATGGACTGAATAATTCATTTGTTTATTTTTTTTATTTAAATGCACACATTAGCACATACCTACCTTCATTTAAATCTATTTTAATATTATTGTACTGCGCTTGCTCTATAAGATCATTTGACTGAGTATGGCATGACTGTATCAGGACGATTGTTGTTATTGGGTAACTGGATTAATGATATCCTGTAGTTCCATCATTTTGTCATTTTGTGTTTGTCATCAATCAAGCTAAATGGTCATGTGATGAGGCATTTGCACTAATGTGCTAATGGGGGGAAAAAAAAAAAAAAAAAAAAAAAAAAAAAAGCAGAATGCCCTTTCAAATTCAGCTTCTTGCAATACATGGCTATTTTTTTTATTAAATTTTGGGGCCTAACTTTTTTTTTTTCCCTGGAAAAAAAAGTTTAAAAAGTGATGTCACATTTAAGTTGTTAAATTCTAACAGGCACTTTTAGATTCAGAGACTTACCATCTTTGGCTCAATCTGAAATTTCATTCTCTAGGGCATAAAGTGCACTACACTGCCTTCAACATCAATCCTCACCACTTCACCATAGATGCAAATTAGGAGTAAAAGGTCTAGGGTAGAGAATCAGGATTTTAAACAGTCCATTTGTTTCTAAGGAGGCTGTTCTCAGGTACCACATTTAGTCAAAATGTTTAGGAAACATTCAGAGATTACACTGAACTTGTGTTCATGACACTCTGGATAAATGCATCTGCTAAATGCTGAAGAATGTAAATTCTGACGGCTACAATGTGCACTCAGGTTTTAACTACAGGATTCAGAATTATTCCACAACCTATTTGACCTTGACCTGATAAAGAGCCCCCAAAAAAAGTAGCTTTAGCTCCTGTTCAGTTACCTGCTCATTTGCTCTGAGAGGATATAGGAGGTTCTAAAGGATGTTCGGCTGAGTGGCAGTTATATTATTAGAGGACCACTGTGGCTCTACTGACAGGAACTCGATTCACTCTGGACATAGTACTAATTATACAGGCCACTCTGGAGTCCATCTTGTATCACAGTCTCATTATTCTGAGAGGTGCGTCAGCGTTTGTCTGGCAGTGACAAGGGAGCAAATCACAATTACCTCGCCTTCATCTCCATAATGAGCAGGTCTTAGGGCGTCTTTTTTGATACAGACACACGCATTTTTTTTGCAGCCAGGGCGCAGTGCAGAACACTAGTGTACTCAATTAATCAATAAAGCTGCTGCTACAGTGTTCCTGTGCCAGCCAGTTTTTTCAAAGCAGGACCACTTTTTGGTTTATAAAAGGTAGACGTCTCAGCTTTCTGGTTGATCTTAACCCCATTTTCTTAACCCCTGAATAATTTGCTCTCCTCTGCCTTCACCAGCTAAATCTAACCTTCTGCAATGACAGGTATGAAAATGGGAGAGTGACAGCTAATACGTTTTCTCCAAGACATCAAATCACAGGATTTTTATTCTAAATGGCTACTTATTGGCCAAACAAGCTTGTCTTCTTCCATATTCATGAGCTAACAGAAGCTAAATGTAGCCCAATTCTGTGGGAAACATGGGGGGGGGGGAATCAGGTAACATGCATGCACTAATTTACACCTGGTTTTGAGAAATCATGCACAAAACCAGCCACTACTAATTGCCTGAAGTTTAACACACTTAGGCAGGTGGAGGTATATGCAAGCAAAAAAAAAAAAAAAGTCAGGGTCAAATAGACTGAACAAACAGCACAGAGAAGGCAAACCCAGACTAAAAGATTAGAAACAGAGAAAGATGTTAAGCATGAAAACTAACATGAAACAAAAGCAGGCGCAGGAGAAGTTTAAATAGACAGAATGATTGCAACTAAACTAGAAACAGGTGTGTTAGTGTTCAGGTGAGTGTGAAAGTCTTAATATCTGTACTGGATTAGGATCCGGACTGGTGGACTTGGATATGACATCAGCTACACTTCCTATTTCTCCACACTTTTTTTGCGCTGACTTCCCTTTTTTTGCGTGTATGAAACGGAAAACCATACTTTGATTATTTCAGTATGCACGAAATTATAACTGTACGAAATTTTTATACATTACAAGCAGAATGCTGCCTATTTATACCTGAAAACAGGTTCAAACAGCTGAATACATCAGGCTCTTTAGGTGATCAGAAACCAATAAAAGCCCAATACAGACAAGAATTTTGGATGCAAAATTTGATTTTCACACGCAATAGTACATTCATCTCAAAATGATAGAATGCCTTGCAATTGGTTGAAAATCTAAGGCTTAATTTTGAGCTTAAGGTTTCTGAATTATATATATCTTTTAAAATGTTTATAATATAAGGAATAAAACACAACGCGGTGTGCTGTTATAGGACATCGATTAAATGTTTTATTCCGCTTACAACACAGCAGTTGGCCAACGTTCCAACGTTTTTAAAATCCATTTATGTGGCGCGTCCACTATACAAGTTTCTCTGTAAGTTGTTATTATAGAAAAAAATAGCGTGTGAGAACTACAACATTAATAAAAACCTTTCAGCTAGAACTAATGCCCGAGCTGCTGAAATGAATCAGTGACTTCTGACCAATCATAATCGAACATTCACCAAATATCTTATTATGCTATCATTTGTAATGCAGTGCAGACTTCAGAAATGGCAACATACGTGAACCTTACAACATTTCTTATCTTATCTTACATTGTTTCTTATCTTTATAGGCTTGCAAGCTAGTAAATTTATACCAATTATCTGTTGCAATACAAAAATATCATCATAACAAAATTGCTCTAAAAGACAAACGGCTAATGATTTTGGAATTACTAACAGCTGAACAAACGAACTGTCTCCCAGTATTAAGATAAATATCAAAAAGAGTTTTTAGTCCCTGAGCTACCATTTAACACAGCCTCATTTTAAATGAGTAAACAAAACCATCATTTGTCATATAAATCGGCCATCCACCTTGACATATTTTACAATTCGACTATTGCCTACAGAATAACATTAATAGAATCGCTCATTCTGAACCAAAAGTACAGATCATAGTGTACTTTCATAGTGGTTGCAAGACCACTAAGAAAGTGCACTAAGCACACTACTACTGAATGCAAGACCTTGTAATGAATACAGGTGAAGATAGATTGGGTTCAATACTTGGGCAAGGATCAGCTACTGTCAGCCAAGAAGCCATTTCAGCACTTGCAAGTCACTCTAACAGGAATAAACTCAGTTCATTGAGGTAAATTAGTTTGCCAGTGTTGGCTCGGGTAACCCCTGCCCCGTTGAGAAAGCACACATGGCTCGGTGTGAATGCCAGGCCACAAAGCAAAGTCCTGATTCTGCTCTGTCTCTGACAGTGCTCTGTAGGATTATTCTCTTTAATGCTCAAACCACAAAGGCATGGTCCAGAAACACACTGCACTTTTAATGAAGTTGGTATTCCCTAATGGCACATAGCCTGGGGCAGGGCTCAAAATTCTTCAAGAAGAAAAAAATCTGTGACTTATAGCCTTGTTTAGAGTGTAGCTCAATCTTGGAGTCCTGAGATGCTGATGAGGTCGCAGGAGATTTTTACCGGTATAGCCACCCGTGGCTGGGGGGGTTGAGGGGGTGGGGGAGTGTTGATATTGACTCTTTCACCATGTCAATCACAGCAACACTAACCAACCATTGGAGTCCATGTGTTCTTGTATGTGGAAGAGGGCAGATAGCGCTTTCCTCTGTGTATGTTACGCTACCCTGTGTAATGAGCTTAATTCCATGGTTTACTGATTGACTAGAAGTGAATGATAGCTAGAATAGCCCAGTTAGCATCATCTCCTCTGCTAACTGGCTACTACTCGCATCCTGTCATTATTCCACAGTATTGGCTTCATCTCAAGTGATAACCAAGTAAAGAAAAAATCTGGATAGAGAAGCCTGCCAGGGAGACGAGACACTAAAAGCTAAAGCTGTAAATAAGTACAGCCTTCTCTAGGAGGAGACGATACTGCAGCCAGCGCCAAAAAGCATGCTTGCATCTCCACTAATGGTTAAAGAACGGTTCTCTTCCAAGAAGCTCTGGCATGCAGACGCTTATCTCCCTGTAAATGGACTTGGAACGACGCAGCTGCTCTACAGGGATGCGTCTTCTACTCTTGTAGTATACCATGTTCTGCTCGTGCAGACTGCACGACGTGATCTAGACCATGACCCTCTTTCTTCAGCGAAAATACAAAGCATCACCCACTATTTGTGAAAGGGCCTATAAGTGGAAGCATGGAGGATGAGTCCATTTCAATGCCTGTGCTTCTGCGCTGATTAGATCGAAGTGCTGGAAGCCAAAT